CTGAGTATGCTGAGTCACTTACTGTATTTATAGGCTGAGCAGAAAAAGTTTTAAATGCCAGAATCAGGGCTCTAATCTCAGCTCTTTGGCTGATAGTACTTAGATTGGGTGATTGAATTATGTGGTCTTTACCAGACTGCAGCTTTTCCTTGTTTACCTGACCTGTTAGTAAACAGTACTAAAGCATTAGGTATGGAGAAGTGCAATACTGCTTCAAATTGCTCTTTCCTTAAAGGAAATTTGACGATCTTAAGATTATAACTTAGCAATTGATTGCATTCGTTATTAAGATGGCAAGTTGAAATTGGTAACATGAAGTTTTAAGAGGAAATTTGAAAATAGTTCTAGAAACAGAGACTCTAAGAATATACTTTATGTACTTAAAGCCACAGGTAGAATAGCTTAAATCTTGGCGATTTTTTTTTCTTGTAGAGATGGGGTTTCGCCATCTTGCCCAGGCTCGTCTCCAACTCCTGAGCTCAAGTGATCTGCCCACCTTGGCTTCCCAAAGTGATGGGGTTACAGGCGTGGAGCCCCTGCACTTGGCTGGCAGTTTCTTTAAATGTTAAGCAAACACCCACATGTTTGTTTACCTATGAGTCATCGCTTCTAGGTATTTACTAGAGAAAACCAAAAGCAATGTCCGTCCAAAAATTTATTCACAAAAGACCATAGCAGCTTTACTTGTAATCAAGCAAAACTTAAAGCAGCGCAAGTATCCATCAGTAGGTGAAGCGATAAATCAACTGTGAAATAGCCATACAGTGAAATACTGTCAGCATGAAAAAGAAACAGATTAGTCATCCCCTTCAACATGGATGGACCTCCAAATAATGATGCTGAAAGCAAGAAGCAAGAAAGAGTACATAAGGTTTGATTCCATTGTTTCACGTTTTTAATTTTTAGAGGTGAGTCCCACTATGTTTTCCAGGCTAGATTCAAATTCTTGAGCCCAAGAGAGCCTCCTGCTTTAGCTACTAAAGTAGCTGGGACTATAGGCATATGCCGTTGCACCTGCCTTGATTCCATTTATGTAAAGTTCTAGAAAATGCCAGCTAATTTATAGTGATTGAAACAGATCACTGGTTGCCGGGGGGTTGAGAGGAGGGAAAGATGGATTACAAAGGGGAGCAAAGAAACTGTTGGGGGTGATGAAAAATGTGGTGTCTTGATTTTGGTGATAATTTCGTGGGTTTCCACATGTGTTTAAATGAATCAGAGGGTACACTTTAAATATGCGCAGCTGATTGTACTTTAATTATACCTTGTGATGGCCAGTTTTATGTGCCATCTAGGCTGGGCTATATTCCACAGCTATTTAATCAAACGTGACTCTAGGTGTTGTAGATGTGATTAGCATCTTCGATTAGTTTACTTTATGTAAAGGAGATTATTCCTAATACTCTGGGTGGCCTGACACAAACAGTTGAAAGGTACGAATGCAGAACTGGTTTTCCTGAAGAAGAAATTCTGCCTGTGGATTGCAGTTAGCTCTTACTTGAGAGCTCCAGCCTGCTCTTCCCGAAGGCCGCCCTGCAGAGTTTGGATTTGCCTAACCAGTCCTTAGAGCTGCATAAGGCAATTTCTTGCAATACATCTCTATCTAGTATTTATTATCCTCTAGCTATCTATTCTCTCTCTCTCTCTCCATCCACCCATCCATCCATCCATCCATCCATCATCTATGTATCTATCATCCAACAATCATCTATCTTCCTACCTAACTCCTGTATCCTACTGGATATCCGACTGGTTCTGTTTCTCCAGTGAAAGCCTGACTCGTATGCATTGGGTAATGGAAGTGATTCTAAAAGAACAAAAGCTTAAGGATGAATTATCTGAATTGATTCTCTCATACGATTCAATTGAAGGCCAGTAAGGACTCTATTTCCGTTGTTAAAGAGGACATAGAATGAGGTGGCAAAATACTGCCACTGGATGTTCCTGATCAAATACTTATTAAAGGTAAGGTTCTAGTGATCATGTATTTGATGCCTTTGGGGCATTTTAGTCAAAATAGGGTGTATAGTGAGATTGTGTGGTTGTTCCTCACTGTGTTAGAGAGAGTCGGGAAAGAAAAGGATGAGCTCAGGGCTTCAAATTGCCAGCTCAGCACCACAGACATTATCCAAAAGCTTCTATGGTCTGACCTTAAAGAAACCCTGTCTCTGTAGATGCAGGGCTGGAATTTCTGAAAATGAAATCCCGAGTCTTATCCTGCAAGTGGCTGGCTTACAATGCAAATAGAATTCACAACCTTGCAGGGTGTCTTCTGATTTTATTTTATTTTAGACAAGGTCTGACTTTGTTACCTGGGCTGGAGTGCAGTGGTGAGATCACAGCTCATTGCAGCTTCTACCTCCTGGGCTCAAGCGATCCGCCCACCTCAGCCTCCTGAGTACCTGTACTCCCTAGTAGCTGGGATGACAGATGTGTGCCACCACGCCCAGCTAGTTTTCTTGTATTTTTGTAGAAACATGGTTTCACCATGTTGCCTAGGCTGGTCTTGAACTCCTGAGGTCAAGCGATCCACCCTCCTTGGCCTCCCAAAGTGCTGGGATTATAAGTGTGAGCCACAATGCCTGGCCATAGGGTGTCTTCTGTTAGAGTGAAGGCATTGATTAGGAAATAATGGGCTCTTCAAAATCAGGATGGGGACATATGAAAAGATCCCAAGGATGGTGGGGGCATTACATCCTAAATTTTGCTTAGTCTTTGCCAGCACCAGCAGCCCTTCTACTGCTGTCTGACCCACCAAATCCTAAGGTGGGGTGTGCACAACAGCACTCCATCATCAGATAGAAAAGGTAAATATGAGACAGGCCTGAGTAGGCCTTGGAGGCACTGGGACCCTGCCTTCTGTGTCCCAGCCTGCACCTGTGACCTCATGGAGTATTCTCTGTGATTAGTTGAATGAGGAAGAGAAAAACTCACATCTGCTTATAGATGGTTGTGCAGAATATGCAGGCGTTACCCAAGATGTTCAGCTGCAGCAGCACAGCTTCTCGCTGGGTCATTCCTGAAGGACAGTGATGAGAAGAAATACTCCCAGTAGGCAGAACTTTGAGTATTGCACTTGGTTGTTCATTTTGCTTGGAAAGAAAAGTAGGTACCTAAACTCTCAATCACATTATTTACAGACAGTCTCAGTCCCACGAATTGCAGCCTGTGCACATTTAAATTTGCTAGTTGACTTCAGAAAGAAAATCTTAGTTCCCAGTTTCTAGCTTCAGTGGCAATGATGTTTAAAAAAAAACTTTCACTGTTACTTCTGTATAACACGAAGCATACACATTCTACTTTCCCTTTTAGCAAAAAAGAGGAAAGGGTGCCTGGCTACTTTTCACTTCCACTTGGCTGAGGACTGAATACTCATAACCAGTGTCTCTGCCGAGGTTTTTATGTTTGTATATACACCTTTATTGAGGCGTGTGTAAGTACAGATTCCACCAGAGAAACAGAACCAGAAGGATGGATATCCATAGCTATCATCTATAGCTATGTTTTTACAATAAGAAAGTCATACTTTCTGCTAACATGATACAACTGAAAATGTGCTAATGCTTTCCCTGGAACAGGCTGCAATGTCCTTTAGTGATAGTCGTTCTTTACCTAGATACCTTGTAACTTAAATACTAGGATGTAAAGTCAGTCACTGTGAATACATCTTATGTTAGATGATAAGAGTATAAAGAGGGAAAAACTAAAAAATATTTGCTTAATGCATATCTGTCAGTACAAACATATAACAAAACAGAAAGAAATACTCACATGTAGTCCTCATTTCTGCATCTGGTCACATGGTCATAGCTGGTTTATAGCTACCTTCTTCCACTACCTATGACATATTCCTTTTGCCCTCAGCAAGCACCTAAGCTGGCCATGGCTCTTTGCTTGGTAGGTCACCCCAATCTTCATTTCTGAAAGCTGGGCCATTAGCAGTTCTTCCTGAATTGGGTTGTAGTTCTCCATTGACTTTAATCACAGGACATGGTAGTACTAATAGGTGCCCTAAGGAATCTCTTGTATTCCAAATATACGTTGTCTTCTTCTGTTGTGTAGTAGCAGCCCAATTTCCCTTTGATAATCAGGATCAATCATCCCAACCAGTACAACACTCCCTTATTTGCCTGTTAGTTCAGAGGTAAGAGGAGACCAAAGTGGCAGGGTGGCAGTTGTAACTTGTAATTCAATGGAATCGTTGAATCTCCGGTGGAAGCATTCCTTCCTTTCTAACTAAGACTTCTAGACCAGCTGAGCATCAGGTCACAGGAACAGAAGCAAACATTTTGCTAGTGGATCACCTATGGCAATAGTGAGTGGTGTCACCCCCATTTCTATCCCCTGATTTCTGGATCCGTGACTCCTGGCTACCGGAGAAACAGTATGTATATTGGATGCTGATTTACAGCATGCACGTCCTCCTGGAGGATGCTTCCCCAGTCGGGCAAAGTATTGCCACCTGGCTGCCATCATAATTGAGTCTTCACAAGGCCATTCCACTGAGCTGTCAAGCCTGCTGCTTCAGGATGATGGGGAATATGGTTAGTCCAGTCAATTGCATAGGCATGAGCCCACTGCGACACTTCGTTTGCTGTGAAGTGAGTTCCTTACGCAGAAGTAATGTTATGTGGGAATACCATTATGGTGGAAAAGGTAGTCTTCAAGTCCACAGATGGTATTATTATTATTATTATTTTGCTTTTTGCAGAAGCATTGCATTTAGAAAAAGCACATCCTTTTTTTGGGGGGGAGGATAAGAGGAAAGCAAATCTGTGTTCACAGTAAGTGTCTATTCCAGTAAGAACAAAACACTACTCTTCCATGATGGAAACAGTCCAGTGTAGTCAAGTTGCCACTAAATAAGCTGGCCAGTCACTCTGGGGAATTGTCCCTGTCAGAGACTCAGTGCTGATCTCTGCTGCTGGCTGGTTGGGTGCTCAGCAGAGGTTGTAGCCAGGTCACTCTTGGTGAGTGTCGTCCATGTTGCTGAGCCCATGCACAACTTCAGTTACTGCCACCATGACCACTTTGTCCATGAATCTGTTGGGAGATGACAGGACTGTCTGGAGAGAGAAGCTGACTGACTGACAGAATGAATCTTCCAAACCACTTGATTATTAAAAGCCTCCTCTACTGCGGTTACCCTTTGGTGAACATTCATGTGGAACATTACCCTGCATTCCCTTCTCTCTTATGGGATGTTGCTCAGCTCCCTTATTGAGAATCTCTGTGAAGCACGGTGGCTTCCAAGGACTCCTTTGGACGGTCCTCTTAAAATCAGCAGATACAGCCATATCTCGGTGAAGCCGGAGCCTGGGGTCCTGCCAGGGGAAAGGAATATGGGGACTTAGAGATACGGAAAATGGAGGTTAGGCAGCTGATGCCAGAATGAGTCATGGGGGTGCCGGGCCTGGGCTTCTTTCCCTGGCCTCCTGGGCTTCCGGGCATGGTGAGTGAGAAAATCCAGGTGAGTATAATGCATTGGAATGGCGGCTTGAATTCAGAGGCCCAGCGGGGTTCAGCACTAGGGGCAAAGCTGGATTTGGAGAGTCTGGCATAGAAAGTATCTTCTCTGGGACAGAGTCAATCACTGAAGCCCCTAAGGGAAGGGTTTTGTGGGGTAAAGGAGCATGAAGGGAGTGGCATAAACTTTTGGAGGTCTCATCCAGAGGCCAATTTGGGTAATGCCCATTACATACAGAAGCTGTTGAGTCAGTAGGATTGGGCCCAGGGCACCTATGGGACTTTTGGGCTTTTTCAGTGAGTGGTTAGGGTTCAGGAGGAAATAGATGGTTTCTGAACTCCTCAGGGAGAAGCAGGCCTCTTGGAAGCAAGAATGACAGTGGATGTGAGTTCCTGCAGCCGTCATGGACACACCCACTCAGCTCTCCTTCAGGAGACTCTGCTGCAGGATGCATGGTGGAATGATGGCCTCAGCTACTTCCACTATGAACACTGAGGCCACATGCCACTCTCCCCAACACCCCCCACTACTTCTGGCTAATGACTGAACTTGGAGCCCTCCCATTCTTGCCTGAAGCAAAACTCCTCTAAGGATAACTTTTGCCCTGGGTCTCCCCATTGGCCTGGCCAAGACTTTCTCAGAACTTTCTATGCTGTGGTCTGAGGTTCAACCTCCTGGATCCTTTTTCCTTCTTTTATAGGTGTTGGATCTGCATCTCTGTCTAAAGGCTCTCCCTGCCTACTTCTGCTCCTTCTCCTGTTACTCTTTTGGGAGTTTTCCCCAATAGAGCTCTTGTACATCTAATTCTCTCTTGAGGTTCATTTTTGAAATTCCAAGAAAACACAAGCTTAGGCCATTCTGACTTCTCAAGCCTAACATGAGCCATCCTTTCCCCAGGAGACAATAGGGCCTTGTGGAAAGGAGCAGAAAGGAGGCTGGCGGCATCCAGACGGCCTGTCCTCTCCGATGGAACCCCTGGCCATCTCTGGGCGGGGGTGGCTCTAGTGGTGGAGGACAGTTGAGCTGGTTTGGGATCTGGGCAGAAGTATGCAGGAGCTGGTTCATACCAGCTTGTATTCTATTTTTAGGAATGTTGCAAGCTTGTTGGTGTCATATTCATAGCTTGAAGTCGGTCCAGGTGGAAGTATTTGCACCTCAAGATAAATGCTGAAAATCAGAGCTCTTCCCTTTGGAGACCTGGTTGTTAATATTTACTAGCACACCACTGAATGGAAGGTTATCATTTTCTTAGAATTGCTCCTGGGATAGGGTTCCAAATTATTATCCTAGCTGCTACAGCTCTATCATTCAGGGTCCCAGTAGGAATCAAGCGGCTCTCTCAAAAAGGTAATTGAGGACAAGTCAAGGAAGAGAGACCATTTACAAAGGTGTGGGCAGGGTGTAGGGAATGCAAGAAGGGATGGTGAAGTATCCCTGACCTAACAATAGTGGGAAGCTGCTACTAATCCTAAGCCTGAGCACACAGGAGAATGAGCCATTGGAGAGCCCCGTGAGACCTACAGCCTTAGGAGAGGGCTGCTTGGCGGGGCACACAGCCTTGGGCAGAGGAACTTGATTACTTTCATCCTAGTCCAGCAGAGTGGAAGCCAGAAAAATAAATACTCCAAATACTCCACTCTCTTTCTCCCCCTGACCCAAGTTCCCCTGTCCAAACTCCTGCTGGTGTCTCCACTGTCGCCAACCAGGAGAAAGGGAACTGTGGGTGCAGCTCACACACATCAGACGTCAGAAGCACAAGGCAAGTGGAGAAGGTGGAAGATGGATCTATACGAACATCTGTGGGCAGAGCCTTGGGTAATCTGTCCTTGTGCCACTTGCCCAGCCGAACTCGATGCCCACTGCCCTTGCCCACTGCACTGTGGGGCACACACTTTTTCCTCTGCCTGAAAACTCTCTCACTTTCCCCCTTCCCCTAGTTCGTTACTTCTCATCCTTGGCTTAAATGTTAACCTCCTAAACATGTAAGCCTCTTTGTTGATTGTATCATTTTGCACCCTGTTGTTTATCTGTTCATGGCAAATCTTTTCCCCAATGGCTATTATTATTATTATTTGAGACAGGGCCTCACTCTACCACCCAGGCTGGAGTACAGTGATACAATTATGACTTACTGTAGCCTTGACATCTTCCTGGGCTCAAGCAATCATGCCACCTCAACCTCCCTAGTAGCTGGGACTAAAGGTGGATGCTACCATGCCAGGATAATTTCTTTTAATTTTAGTAGAGACAAAGTCTCACTATGTTGCCCATGCTGGTCTCAAACGCCTGGCCTCAAGTGATCCTCCCACCTCAGCCTCCAAAGTGCTGGGATTATAGCTATGAGCCAATGTGTCTGGCCCCTAATGATTATTTAACAATAATAATACCAGTATTCAACATTGATTGAACACATACCATGTGCCAAGCGCTGAGGAATTATTTGTTAGACTCTTTTAGACTACAGTTTCCATAAGGGCAGGGATCATGTCTCTGTATTGTTCATTGGTCTATCTCTCTAGTGCCTAGGACAGTAGCTGGCACATACCAGGAACTCAAGAAACATGTATGGAGTAAAAAAATCCCAAAATGAGCCTTGCAAGTTTTTCCTAGCTCTCTTGTATCGTGGGAGATTAAATATGGCTGCAAATCCTTTACCGCTCCTCCCACTGAGAGATGAAGTCCAGTTCCACTCTTTTGACATCTCAGCTGGCCTCGGTGACGTGCTTGACTGATAGAATGTGGCTGGAGTGACACTCTGGGACTTCTGGCTCATAAGAAGCCTTGCAGCTTTCGCCTGGGTCTCTTGGAACATTCTTGCTTGGTGCTCTGAACCACCACTTTTGAAGAGTGACGTATGAAGCCGCCATGCTGGTGAGGCCACGTGTAGGAATGGTAGATGGTTCAGCCGAGCCTAGCTCTCTAGCCTTTTCTGTTCAGCCCCAGGTATCCACCAGTCCAACAGCACCAAGGGACCCCCACTGATGCCACGTGAAAGAGTTACCCAGCCAAGCCCTACTCAACTTTCTGAGTCACAAAATTGTGAGATCTAATCAGGTGATGCTTGTTTTAAGCCTCTGCATTTTGAGGCACTTTGTTATGTAGCAGTAGTCAAAACAAGTAATATTGATTAGGGGAAAATCCCCAACCCGCTTTTCCTCCCCTCCTTCACCCATCCGACACTCTCGGGCTGCCCTTAGGGACCGTTACCAGCGGGAGTCTTGCTAACTTTCCAGCAACTTATCTTTGATGTGGCTTTAAGAGGGGTGCCTTCTCTCAGCTGAGCTTCCATTTGCCACACTGCTGGGGAATCCCCCGAATGCTAGCCTGCCCACTTTACAACAAGCTCCGACAGCTGAGCTGTTCTGGGCCACCTGCCAAATCTCAGATGATACCCCTATGATGTCGGGTGACAGTAAAATTCAGTGACTCCTGGGTGGAGGGAGGCCCTGTTTTTGAAGCCTTCTTTGCTCACCCAACCACACAGCTCAGCTAGACCTCATCTCCAATTAGACTTGGGGAAATGCAGGTGTCGGCCCCGGGCTCCCCCAGGGTCCACTGCTGCCTGGCTCTCTGGGTCAGATCTGTTTCAAGCAGAGCAAACTGCTGCTGGAATCACCAGGGCTGTGAGGAGGTTCAGAGGATGACCCCAGTTAGCAGTTAGAGGACTGAACCATGGGCGGTGTGCTCTGAATGTGTGAAGGGTGATAGACGGAGCCTTTTGGATATTTCTCGTAGTACCAAAGACTAAACAGGCATTTGAGAAGCCTGAGGCATCTTTGCCTGCTCCAGGACCTCTGAAGGAGGTCATGTGGGGATATCCCTGGGGCATTTGCTAACTCATTCTCAGAAGGAGATCTGAGGAAAATATATTCACTCCCTCGTCTCACTCCTTTGCTGCCCAAGCACACGTGGGTGGGTGGAGGGAGGGAGGCCAGCGACAGCATTCCTGGTGGAGGGAGCGAGGGTAAGTAAGCACAGGGTGTCTTGTGGTACAGCAAGACAGGCTCACCAGGGCCAGACGGTGTAGAGCCTCAGACACACTCTTTGGTGCTCTGGGGCACAGCCCTCATTTCTTAGAGGGAAGCTGGTGTGGACTACACTAGATGAGGCTCATGGCGTATATAGGTTCCCAGGCTCCACATGGACCTATAGAAACAGAAGCTCTTTGGATGGGGCCCATGCCTCTGCATTTGTAACAAAGTGTCTAGGCAGTTATGAAGAAGGAAGCCAAGTAGTACAGAGGTTAACTCCATGGCGTCTGGAGTTAGGCCTCAGGGGTTTAAATCCAGACTCTAGCATTCAGTGCTTGTACAATTTTGGCACCTCGGTTTCCTTATCTGAATTGCAGATAATTATAGCGCCAACTTTACTGAGTTGGTGTGAGGATTAAATACATTAACATGAGTCAGATACTTAGTATGCAGATGTTGGGTACTCAATAGCTGATTTTTCCAGCAACCTGAATGATGACAGTAGTGCAATGAGGAAACTATGGACCTGTAGTACAGAGTCAGACCCCAATACATGTTTGCTGAAGGGAGGACAGGAGCATGGCATATTCAGCCGGGTCATTGGCACGCTCATGCTACGAACAGTGATTTTCACAGATAGGCCTAGCATACCTCTAGGTGCTGGGGGTTCAAAAAGAAATACATCATTTTTGGTACATGCCTTTAAGATACTCGTAAGGTCATAGATATAGAAATGGATGTTTAGGAGGAAGTATGGTAAGTTCTATGTGAGGGGCAGGCTCTGACTACACCATCTTTGAAGAGGCAGGGTAGGCTTCCTGGAGGAGGTGATGTCAAAGGGGGATCAGAAGGACAAGAAGGAGTTATCCAGGGAGAGGGAGCTGAT